AAGAAACATTGTTTTACAAACCTCACGACTTAAATAAAAAATTAGATATTTTGCGTATGAAAGTATTGTAATGTTTACTGATAATCTGCCAAATTTCATTAAAGTTCGCTTACTAATTTAAAAGTTATAGCATGAAAACTATAACAAGCACAATATGGTTACGAGGTTGTCACATTGACCAACCCCGTATTGAAAGAGTTAGCCCCCACCCATGCACATAGGGTTAAATATGTTCACAAACAGGTGTGGCGTTATTTAAACGTAGAACCTGAGAACCTGGTTCTTACTGTAAACCTACTTTGGTAACATTTTTAATGTACCAAGAGAATTAGCTGCTATAAACTGTTGAAAGTTGAAAATGTAAATATACACTGAGCTTCACGAGTTCTGTGTGGTTAATTCCAGTGTACAACACTGACTGCTTTTGAATGTGAAGATATTACAAAAACCTGCATAACTGGAAGTGGTGATAAAAATTAACATTAGGTCAATCTACCACTCAAGTTTCAGTTTGAAGTACCTAACAACGACAAGTAGGAATCAGTAGTTTTTATTCATGAGAAACCTGCCTTTAAGTTCTGTTTTTTTTATAATTAAAGAATGTTCACTTTTCAAAACTCAGTTTTTATTATGTAATTGGTTTGTTATATTTTAGCATCAAGTCACTGCATTCCAAGAACCACATTATCTGAAACACAAAAGACACTTATCATTTACAGTTAGTAGTTGTAATAGTGAGGAAAAAAATATCATAATCCAAACAGTTGCAGCTACTTGAAGTGATTGTGGACATAAAAAATATCTACTAGTGAGTACACTGTCCAACTCTTAAACTACTCACCTAATACTGACAGAGGCTACAGTAGTTTCATCTTTCAAGTCTCAACCATTCGGCAACTTAGTATAAGATAACGTATGTAAATATTAAAAAATATGCATACAAGTTCACAGAAACTTTTACTGAAACATTTTCAAACTTCCTTACTTAATCTTCTGACTACCACGGATTTCCAATGGATCTGAATTGTTAAACTGTATTGAATTTTAATTACCTCATGGCAAATAAATTAAAAAACAACATTGGGAGTTCCGTAAACCAACAATAGATGGGCTATAGTGCGTTTCTGTTTAAGAAAGAAGACAAAATGAGAGCTTCCACCCTCACAAATTGTATTTCTACTTGAATATGTGCACAAACAGGTGTGAAAAATTCTTAACTTTAATATTTTCTTTGACATTCTGTTATCTCTCTTTCCTTTGGTAATTGTTAAGTTGGTGTGAATCTTCCTTCTTCTCTGTTTTATAGTTGAGGAGGAACTTTTACAGCTGTAATCATCTGATTGTAAATACGTTGTGAAAAATACTACAGATCAAAAATAATGCTGCTCTCAGAATGTTCATTTTATTACCTGGTAGTTACAATGACTATCCAGTGGTTGTTGACCTTGGACGTACTGCCCTTGACCTGAAACTTGTGTAGGTCCAGAAGGTGGAAATGCTGTTTGGGCAGAAACTGGCCCAATAGGTGCTCGACCCTGGTAGATGCTACCTGGTTGGACTCCTGTACTGTCGCGACTATGAGATAACATTTGCTGGTTGTGATATCTTTGGGAAGGGTAGAGGTTAGGATCAGACTGACCGGGACCCATCATACCATCGGGTTGTGTAGCTGGTCGTGGTCCAGCAGGCATTTGGTGTTGTTCATATCTAGAAAAACATCAGCTTTTACATTAAGTTTTGTAACTTTTAAAAACAGTCAAAGTCACAAGATTTGTTTACTAAATGACATCGGCAGAGAGCGAGCTTTCCCGATCTAAGACCAGTTAATTTTATTTCACAGACAAATAAAACAAAATATAAGATTAGTAGGTAAAGAAAGAGCAGCTTTTCTGAATTTCAAAAATCAAAATTCTATTTAGTTAATAAAAAAAAATATAATGATGCACTTGAATCTTTTGCTGATTGCAATTGAGTTCAGCTCGACAGTTTTAAACTCTGAAAATTACAGCTCGTTTACTTCCTTCGACTACAATGCACACTCAACTGTCTTGCATAATCTCGATGCTCATGTTTCGACAACATTTGCACTCAACATACATTTACTAACATTCCTTTCGTGTGGTTTACACTCCTTTAACTAAGAAATACAATGTTTTAAATAATTTCTTATTTTAACTATAGTATTATTTTTGATATATTCATTAACTCCACTCTCAGTAGAGAGATTTAACTTCTCTCTACAGCCAGATATTACAATTACTCATGAATTCTGATAGAGTTTCTGAGTGCTAAATTATATTATTATTATTATTATTATTGATGGAAGACTAGCAAATAGTGTATTTTTATTTGAAAAACTATTTTTCATTTATTTTAAACATAAATATACTGCGTTATATAAATTTTAGAACAATTTGATAATATTTAAAGAAAAAGAATATAGTTAAAAAGAGACAGTCAATCAAAAGGAACTAATAAGTATGTTACCTACAAAACTATTTCTAAAGGTAAAGTATAATAAGAATTGTTTTTTGCTACAAGACGAAAGAATGAAAAGAACATAACCACTGTACTATAATAAGTTCCTGCAGGATCAAACCACAACACAGAATTTCATTCAAAAAACAAAACTACCTTTCTCTGTCATAAGGTACTTGGTAGGAATACTGAGAAGCAGCTGCACGATTAGGTGGAAAAGAGTTGGGAAGACTGAGGTTCTCCTGCATCATGTTCCTGTGTCTGTACGTCCCTTCCGACGGAGGCATCATGGCAGACTGGCTTCCATATTGTTCTTGGAACTGGTCAGCTGTCTGGCCACTGCTGAAATTGACGGAGCCTCCGCCGTAGGGCTGCCCTACAGGTGGCTGGTTGTACCCGTAAGAGTTGGGCATGGGCTGACGTTGATAGTGCATACCTGGCATGCCACCAGGAGGAGGACCAAGCATGTTGCCTTCTTGAATATGGTTAGAAGGAGGTGGACCCTGTGGATACCCACAATGCTGTCCTTCAACAACATGAAATTCAGTGTTTGAACCTTGCCCAGGGTGGGAGTAGGGTCCCGGATAGTTACCCTGAACGTAGCCATCCATAGGCTGGTTATTGGAAATAGGATGAAGAAATGGTTCTTGGGCATCTATAATATAAAAGAAATTATCAAAATAATATACAAACTTATAGGTTTTCATAATTAATTTGTAACCCATAATAAAATTAAGCATGTTCATAGTACAGGACAATAAAAACTGTTATATTACAATCGTTTGTTATACTTCTTTCAAAGAAAAACATCAAGAAATAATTCAACTTTTCTCCAATAGATTGCATTCAATTAACTAAATACTTACTATCAACAACTGTTAACAAAACCTGAAAAATGTTAATTACGCTTATGAAGCTTTTTTGAGTTTCCACAAGCACTATTTAATAGTAAAATAAAAACCACAGATAAGACCCCATATATGCAAAAGTAACTCTACCAAACCAAATACTGTTTTATTACTGTATGTCCATATTGCCTAGAAGTTAATTTCAGGATTGAACTGTTAGGCAATATATCTATTCAGTAGTAAAACTCCACCTTCAGTGTTTTAACCATCTATTCAGAAGTAAAACTCCACCTTCAGTGTTTTATCCACCTATTCAGAAGTCAAACTCCACCTTCAGTGTTTTAACCATCTATTCAGAAGTAAAACCCTACCTTCAGTGTCCTAACCACCTATTCAGAAATAAAACTCCACCTTCAGTGTTTTATCCACCTATTCAGAAGTAAAACTCCACCTTCAGTGTTTTATCCACCTATTCAGAAGTAAAACTCCACCTTCATTGTTTTATCCACCTATTCAGAAGTAAAACTCCACCTTCAGTGTTTTAGCCACCTATTCAGAAGTAAAACTCCACCTTCAGTGTTTTACCTACCTATTGAGAAGTAAAACCCCACCTTCTGTGTTTTATCTACCTATTGAGAAGTAAAACCCCACCTTCAGTGTTTTAACCACCTATTCAGAAGTAAAACCCCACCTTCAGTGTTTTAACCACCTATTCAGAAGTAAAACCCCACCTTCAGTGTTTTGTCCACCTATTTAGAAGTAAAACCCCACCTTCAGTGTTTTATCTACCTATTGAGAAGTAAAACCCCACCTTCAGTGTTTTGTCCACCTATCCTAAATAAAAACTCACCTTTAGTGTTTTATCCACCTAGCTAAATTAAAACCTCACCTTTATCAGGCTATCTGTGCTGTGCCTACCACAGGTGTCAAAACCTAATTTTTAGTGTTATTTCAGACTTACTGCTGAGCCACTGGGGGAGAGGGAAGGCAATAATGTAGTACTTAACTGGACATTGTACATTTATCTACCCAGACATAAAAGCACATATTAGAACCAAGGTTCCCTCTAATTTTGGCTGGAATAATGAAATGCGTGACACTTGATTGGTCGTTGTGCAGCCACACAGCCTAGAGAGAACACCAATTAGAACTAAGCACTACTAATTACTGTCCAATCATAAAAGCAACCTACCTGAACTTAAATCTAAAAGTCCATTAGCGATTGAGTACAGCTGATTAAATATATTTTTCTTATATTCTTGCTTATAAAGGAGAGTAAAAGCATTGTTTCATTAGTAGGATACCCTCCTAACAATATTTTTGGCCTTAGCCCCAATAATATATTTTTCTTATATTCTTGCTTATAAAGGAGAGTAAAAGCATTGTTTCATTAGTAGGATACCCTCCTAACAATATTTTTGGCCTTAGCCCCAATAATATTTCACAGGATTCAGCCAGCTCAGGTTAGTACTAAACACATACACTAAACTAACAATGAAAAACAACCTTTATAATAATAAAAAAGGTTTAAATAATAAACTAGATATATTAAACATTCTAACGAATGACATTAATGAAAGTCGTATTAAAGAAATAATGGAGCATACCTTACTCATGCAATACATAAACACTAGTTACTGGCTCCAAATAATTTCATAGATTTAATGTTTGTTCCCTGTGTATAAGGGAAACTTTTACACTACCCTACTTAAAAATGTCTTGAAACCAATTAAACAGCTCCAACAATGTAATTTTAGAAGAATTTGACATCGAGATAAACTGCTACTAAACACTGTTTAGGTGTAGAATCGAGTAGCTGGGCAGTACCAATATTACAGCCAAAAACTAATGTTTATTATGATACAATATAATAAATAAATTAAGTGAACAGCTGCGTCATAGAATAAATAGCCAGAATGTTGGAGTTATAATTTATAATATAACAATATTAAGTGTAATTAAAACAAAACAATACACGAGGTGTGTAACACAAATAATCTGACTTTATCTAACATCTGTAAAACAAACAAACTGAGATTGGAGTAATTTCAACAGAGGTGTAAAAATCGAGGAAGAAAGCCCCCCCCCGCGCTTTTTAATCTGTCCCAGTAAAAATGCATTAAAATTAGGAAAGTTATACTGAGGAAAAGCAAGAGAGTGCATAATATTTAGTCCAGAACCCAAGAACTTCCATAGCTCTAAGACGAGCCATGAACCCTGGATGTAATGGGGGTGCCTGTGGCACATGTTCCATCACCTCATTTGATCAAATAAACCTTGGGCCCCCACTTTTAATTTGCCTCCTACACCACTACTGAATGATAATAATAATAATAAGACTTCGAAAGGAAAGTTACAACAATAGTAAATATGGCAATTAAAGTAACTATAAAACAACTAATGATGTCAGGTTATACCATATAAGGAACTGTTATATTGTTAGTGTTAATTATATGTAGTAATGGGAGGTAATCTAATTAATAGTGGTTAATACACTAAAATGATCCAAAACTACCTAAAACAGTTTCATATAAAATCACACATTATAACTGGTTACAAGAATTCTGTTAAATTTCCCATAAAACTGAACGAATTTTAGGTTTAAAAAGCGAAAGACAAAAACCTCGAAGAGAAAGAAGTAAATGAATGTCAACATTTCATTACACTGAAAATGTATTTCCAATAGGTACTTACCTCCTCACAAACAAAGCTATCTCGATCGTTGACTGCCCTCTAAGCACTGCTAAAAGAATTTTAGTAAAGAGCGCACCAGTTTCACACCATTTCTGAACATGTACATATCATGTGACTACTCTTCCACCATAGTACCGTGCCACCTATAACGGCACAACTAGCTCCCTCTGCTATTTTTGCTTAATCCTCACTTTCGAGAATTAGCAGGTACTGTAATAAAAACACCGGTTTCAGTGGGGAGGAAGGGTGAGAGAAGGTAAGTACCTATCAGAAATGCTTTTTTCGAAAGAGTCTTACCTCCCCTCACACAAAGCTAGATTCCCACATCACAAAAGTGGAGGGTCAGTGTAGGTGCACAAAGAATAACCAAGTGGAAAGTGACCACCCAGAATGAATGGGTGTGCTTGGAGATGAAATTGAAGCACACCTGTGGGGTGCCACACTACTTCTGGAACATGTATGCTTTTGGCCCAGGAATTAGAAAAGGAACATAAAATGGGTGGAAATGGTAGTGTTTGCACAATTGTAAGAGCATTAAGAAGTTGCAGGTTGTATCAACATATAACAAGATTAAAAAAAAGGAATAACCACAGGTGGTTAGGGCATGTGGAACATGTTATCGATACCCAACAACCCCAACTGTAAGTAAACAGAGTGCCATATGTCAAACAATCGGAAATTGGAAGAGAAAGAGAGCAAATGGTTGTAACCGTACAAACTTACAAAACCACCATGGGAGCAAGCTGTACAACAAACTGAACCCAGCATTTTGGGGTCCTGGTGTTGCCTCGACTTAACCATAAGAACAGGGAAAGCTGTAACCGGTATTATGGGCAAAATCATAACCTCAGTCAACTGTAATGCAGGGTAAAGACATCCTGTATTCGGAATTACGAGGAGGGCAAGCAGCAGGTATTACGAATCAAACAAAATCTGTCAAACCCAATCATAGAAGCAGGAAAGAACCTTTTGTAACCAAAATTAAAAGAGAGTCGTCTATCGCACTCAACTGTAGGAACAGGGAATTGTCATCCAGAACCTGGAATTACAAGGAGGATCCCATGCAAGCTAACTCCAAATAACATTTTATCATTGGTCTATTGAGTGTGGTCTGCTAAGGCAGAAACATCCAGGGGAAGCACCAGTAGGGAAACAGCTTCACCCACTTTTCCTGAGTGGATAAATGAGCATAAGTATAGTAACACTCAGGAGGAAGCCTACATGGTCCACCACCCCAGTGACTGGGAAGTGAGAGCGAAAAGGACTTCATACTCCACTAGAAGAAGAATAGGGGGGGTAGGAAGGTAGTGAGGAGTCAGGAGGAATGTCACACAGGAGACTGCAATGGGTGACTGCATGCACGTTCCCTAATTTTGAAAAGCAGACCAAACCCAATTATAATCAAAGGATCAGCAAAGGTGGGCAGAAATCCCATTCTGCTTTACTCACGAAGTCCGTGAGTGATGGTCCATAAATTTATATAATTATAATACACATACACCACAGAGAAAGTGCCCAGTGGTCTTACAGAAACACCCCATCTCAACTGTGAGCATATATAAAAGTTACTGCATTTAGTGCGGGTTTGGGACAAAGCATACCTGAAGAGGCAACATCTGCCACTAGGTGGAATCCATAAAGAAGTTTAGGGAAGCTGAAAAGAAAATGAAATGAGCAAGCTTACCCTAGTTAAAGACGAACAGATGTGTGCAGAATCACCAAGGGAGAAAGACAATATCCGCCAGAGGACAAAATAGCCAGATCTAGTAGATAATGAGGGACGAAGGTATTGGGAGTAATTCACATTCCAGCCAAATGATCTCCTTCAAAGGACAGTGAAGGCGAGTAGGAAAAGACATAGTAATGTGACTAATTTGATGCAAAGAGATGTTGTAGAGATAGTAAACTTACATGGATAAGTCTGAATAAGTCAGCTGGATGAGTTGACAAAACCCAACCAGTGAGAGGAACGGTTACAGGACACAGGAAACTGAAGGGTTCCAGGAAATAACGAGTAGGAACACACACCCCCCAAAAGGAGGCAGAAAGTACCACATAACACCTGAAGAAACAAACTGGACAAGGAAGACTATCTGAATTGGAATGCAAGGTGAAGAAATGGGTGTGAAATTCAGAATACAGTCACTGGCAGCATAGGTCCTAGGGAGGAAGGTCCGAGGTTGGGATAGAAGATGACATAGGAGGAATGGTAAGAATGCGGGTAAAATGAATGTATAAAAATCTGAATGATGACAACTACAAGCAAGGAGGAGAAGGAATGAGGTCCTGAGGGAGGAAGGTAGATGGAACATTAAGACAAAGGCTAAAATGTAGGAAGGGAAAGGTCATAAAGGATCACACTGAGATCCTAATAGGCAAAGCAAAGGAACAGAAAGGATAGGGAAAGACAAACCCAGAAGAAACAGGTGGAGATAGACAAGGTCATCCGAGAGCTGGACATGGACAAAGTGGACAACCTTTGACAATATATCGGGTGAAGAATAGGGAAAAAAGAGTAAGGAAGGGTAGGAAGGACAGAAACCAAATTCTGAGGTATATTAAAATCAGTGGGAAATGGGCATGGAAGAAGGTCCCCTGGATAGAGAAGGAAGAATGCAAAACGTAGAGTCAGACCCTGGTCTGAGACAATGGACAAGACAAAACCATGCATGAAGACAGGGAGTGGTGACCACTCTGTGATAATAATCTTGTTAGAAGATAATCAAGCCAGGAAAAAGGCAAGCAAAGATCTCCATGTGATAACAGTGGGTTCAGAAATGAAGTCAGTAATCGGTACCTCCTGGCTCAATGATAGAAGTGAACACTGTGGAGAGGAGGGAATGTACCATAACCACAAAAGGCTCGATAAAAGTGATATGGAGAAAAACTCCTTGATTGACCAGAAACAGTAAATCTCCTGGAGTCAAGGTAAGAACCTCAGCCCCCTAAAGAGGAGTATGGGAACAGACGTAAGTCAGAAAGAGAAGGAGTAAGCAGCACCCCCCACGGTCTGGACTCCTTTTCAATCACCAAGCCAAGGATTTGAGAAGTTCTACTGATCAAGGAGAGGAACACATATGAGTCTGATCCATGGGAATGAGAGCTTACAAGGAAGTCCACATCCCCAAATAGATAGAACATATCGAGCTGTACAAAAGGTGAGGGATGTGTGATCTGCTCACTTCAAGCCTGAAGACAAAGAGGATAAGGAAAAATGCAAGACTTGTAGAGTGAAAGAGTTGGGCACAAGTTTGTATTCCCTGACAAAACACGTAAGGAGCTGTCAAGGATCACGAACATCAGAAAAGGAACCAATGCTAAGCTCAGCTCTACGAATGGGAAAGAAACGAACATGGCAGTGAAGTAACAAGGCAAAATTTTAAGTCCCATACTGACGAAAATTAAGAAGGGACAGCACAACTGAACACTCCTGAAAAAATTCAGATAGAACAATGAATATATATTACTAGTAGTAATGATATGTAACATACCAACTGTCGAAACATACCCAGTAAACAAAGAGCTGACAAACATCAAATGGCAAAGTATAAAAATTTTTCTAGTCCATAAAGAATGTAAAAAATAATGAATGTGCCAAATGACAGAAATTACCAAGAAAACACAATAAGGAGCAATATCTAAAGTACCAGACAAAGAAAGTAACCGAGACGATAAGGGCACAGAATTAAGTCTTACACTGACCAAAATAAGGAGGAGGAAAGGTACATACTTAAAGATGATGAAAAACATTATTCAAAGAGAACAAAGATTTATTTGTTACTTGTAGTAATGATATGGAAGGTACAAACTAACCAATCATACCCAATTAACAAAGTACTTATATAAGACATGGGACAAACTATTAAATGTAACCAGTCCACAAAGTACGTAATAAAAACGAACATGTAAACACCTGAAAATTACCAAGAAAACATGAAAATAATCAATACCTAACAAAAACAAAATAAATAGAACAATTTTACTAGTAGCAGTGATAAGTACGGTACAAGCTATCGAAACATACCAAGGTAATAAAAACAAACAAGCACACCGAAGAAAATTACCTAGAAAACACCTGAGTATGCAATAACTAATTTACCATACATCAAAAATAACCTATACGACAAAGGATACTGAATTAAGTCACATCCTGATGAAAAATGGGGATGAGAAGGCACACAGTTAACAATGACAAGAAAAAAAAACTACACAAACAAAACAATGAAATAGACGTTACAAGTGATTAAGATATGTAACAAACACATAATCGAAACATACCTACGGAAAGCACTTATTAATAACAAACTAACAAAATAATAATCAATATCTAACATACAATTAAACTAAATATCTAGCTTAAAAAAGTCTGAGCACTGATTACTTGAAATACACAAGTCTCCTGTGTATAAAGAAGGGCAAAGTCATGCAAAAGGCATCAAAATCAGGTCTACCATAGGTATATCAAGCTGGTGTGAAGAGTACATATTGAAAACTTACCACAAATCCCCTGGAAGAACTTGAAGATAGAGGAAGAAAGGAGGGGAGAAACAAGTCTCCCCCAACGGAAAGATGTGGAGGCCAGCAAATGAGGGAAGGTGCTTGAAAAAAGGAGAGACCAAACTGACAACTCAAAGAGTGTCTTCTTCCTCAGAAACAGTGTCATGTTAAAGAGAAGGAAGAAAACACCAGCCAAACGTAAGCCTCTAACTCCCTGCGAACCAAGGCATGTACATCCTCAGCAGATAAAGTAGGCCCTGCGTCCTGGGAAGTAGTGCCATTTGCAATGTTGCCTGTTGTTGTAATATCACTGTCCACCACAGGAAACCTCATATTCATACTAAAACATGTAGAAAACGGAAACGAGAAAATTTGAATGCAAATTCGTGGAAACAAATTAAAATTAAAAATCGTTGAAGAATCTTTGTTGGAAAGGCAACAAAGAACAATCAGAAAAATTAAACCCACATGTAAACTATGTCATGCCAATCAAAAAAGTAAGGATTGAGTGGGAATAGCAGAGGGAGCTAACTGTAACATTATTGGTGGAGAGTAGTCACATGATATGTTCATGTTCACAAAACTGATGGGGTATATAAAGACTGGTACGCTGATTACTAAAATTCTTTTAGCAATGGTTAGAGGGCACTCAACAATTGAGATAGCTTTCTCTGAGAGGAGATATTACTGTTTTGGAATTAGGACTTTTGTCAATGTGAAAAAAAAACAGGGTTTCTCAAATAACTTAAGAACACGGATATCCTCAAAACATACTTGAGGCAGGTGGAGGATTCTTGTTTTTTTTCCTAGAAGCCATCAACACTTGCTGAATGATTGGCTGTGGATCAACACCACCCCTATCAAACTTGCATTCAAATGGCAACAAGTGCTTGATATATTGTTTACGTAGAGTATAAGCTGCACTTGACGAAGCTCCAATCCCAACAGATCCTGCAATATCTTTCCAGTGCTTCGATTTGGTCACCTAAAATTAAACATGACAAAGTGCATCAAGTAACAAGTTGGCTAAATAAAGTACAAATGCACACGTAAACTAAACAAGATATACATGACCAATGTCTAACACTGGCTAAAACATTTAAGTGTTATTCATTTATCAACTCAATTCAAAGTAACAATTAGTGTTCCAAGATTATTACTTTTTACCTTGATTCACGGTAACAAACGAGTTTTACAGTGATCACTTTATCAACTTGTTTCTGGGGGTAGGAAGCAGCGCACCCAAGGTTATCACTTTATCAACTTGTTTCTGGGTA